AATATAATAGAAGATTTTGCACAACATAAGTCCCGAAAAAAAACCACTGTCGTAATGGTAATCGATTCAAAACATCAACATACTTAAGTAATCAATACCAATTAACTATAATAAAAATAAGATCATGTAGCCGAAAAATGTTTGTGTCATTCACTTTTTTTACTTTCCAACAAGGCCCCAAATTCTTGTGTGCCCATGGGCCCCAGTATGGCCTAAGACGGCGTTGGAACCAGAGACCCTTTTTACTGGAAACGAGGCATTCCATCTTAGTCCTCACGGGTGACAACGCATCTGCATTTTGATTCGTAATCGAGGATAAATGTAGATGTCTATGGGCTACAGCAACCACTTACCATCAGGTGGACTGTGTGCTCGTTTGTCACCCTTATCCTATAAAAAAAATCTCCTTGAAACTTCTTCCATTAGTATTATGTTTAGCTCATCATTTAAATCTCATAATTTTGTTAATTTATTCTTAGAACCGACACGTATTGCTGGGCCTAGTGCAATTTGTATAGATAACATTTTTAGAGATGTTAAGCCCTTGCATAAATCAATCATTCAAAATTTAAGTTTAGATCACTGTAGAAAATTAGGTAGTTGTCTTTGTTCCAATAAATATTTGGAGAGGTTTAGAAGTAACATAGTAAAAGGACTTCCATCACTTTCATTTAAAAATAGTGCTGATTATTTGTATGGTTTATTATTTAAAATTATAACTTGTGTGAATTTAATAGAATATTTACTTCTAAAACTTTCTCTATAAACAGTTAGTATAACAGTAGCAAATCATTTAATGAGTGGGCGACAGTAGGAATTTGTAAAAGTAGAAGAAAGTTATACGAGCTTTATAATGAAATATCATATTTTTAGTGTATATTAATGACGTACCTTCCCTTGTAGGGGACAATCATGATATGGTATTATTTGCTGATGTTACTTCCTTGATTTTTAAACTTAAACGTCTATCATTTAAATGTAACGAAGTGAATAATGCTATATCAAAATTAGTGCATTGGTTTACCATTTATAATCTGCATTTAAACGGCAATAAAACTAAATGTATTAAATTTACAACAACGATTGTTAAAATCTGAATACCAGTGTGTTTTTAAATGGGGAAGAACTGAGCCCTGTTGAATCCTCTATTTTTCTTGGCATCACTAATGACGCGAAGCTTCAGTGGGGCCCCCATTATACGTATATCCAAACTAGCAAGAAGACTAAGCTCTGCAGCTTATGCTTTAAAAAGATTAGAGATCTCAGTAGTGTCGAGACTGCTAGATTGGTTTATTTTAGTTATTTCCATAGCATAATGTCTTATGGTATTTTGCTATGGGCGAATGGGCTGATTTAGAAACTATTTATGTGTTGCAGAAGAGGGCCATAAGAGCTATTTACAACCTTAAACCGAGAGACTCTCTTAGAATTTTTTTTTAAGAAATTAATATATTTTCTTTGCCCTCTCGGTATATTTACGAAAATTTAATGTATGTTCACAAAAACAAAGATATTTTTAGTAAAAATAGTGATAAACACTCTGAAACCACTAAGAACAAACACAAGCTAGTGATACCAGTATCTCGACACCACAGAGTTAGTAATTCATTCTTAATGGGGGCAATGTATACGCTATTACAACAAAGTCCCAGAAAATATACAAGATCTCTCTATTACCAAGTTTAAATATTTAATTAAACAAAAACTGTATAAAAATAGTTATCTATACAAATAAATAAAATAGAAATGTATGTTTGTAATGTCAAAATTACAGCTCTTTACTAAATGCATATGAACTTATACACGTTACTAATAACGAAAATACAATTTTTAAAGTTTTTGTCTGTCTGTCTGTCTGTCCGTCTGTCTATCTGTTTGTTCCGGCTAATCTCCGAAACGCCTAGACCAATTTTGACGGGATTTTCACTGGCCGATGGCTGATATCACAAGGAGTAAATTAGGCTACTTTTATTTTAGAAAAAGAATTAGGGTTCGGCGCAAAAACATTAAAATCCCAAAAAACACGCGGGCGAAGTCGCGGGGAATAGCTATTTATAATATAAATGAATACATCGTTGATAATAACCCCTGAGAATGAGGTGGTCGCGTCCAAGCTATTTCTAAAATAAATTTTGTAAATAGTTTGTAATCATTTACATTGTAAAATTTATTTTAAAAAAAAGTCCCGCTGGGTTTCTTGCTGGTTCTTCCCAGGACAAAGGATTTTTTCGAACCAGTGGTAATATAAAAATAATGACTTTCAATAAGAATTACTTGTAATCAATATTGAATAAAAATTATTCTATTCTATTCTGACGTAAGGCATTAAATGAATAGGGAACAGTAGGAGTCCATAAGAGCAGACAAAGGTTATATGAACTTTTACTATGAAAGGTCAAATTATAATCTTAGCGTCGAATTTAGGGAATATGCAAAAAAATATTCAAAATATTTAAGAGTGTGCCCCACAGCCAAGTATGCATGAGTAACAAAATAAAGACGGCTTCTAATAAAATTAAAATGACATGGATTATAATTAATAGTGAAACCGGTAAGGTCAATTCTCGCAATTCAAACTACCAGTTAAGTTTTAACAACAAATTAACTAAATCAGATCAGGCCGTTGCAATGGTTTTTGAGAAATACTTTACTGGTAATTGTAATAATTTAAAAAAAAATGTTAATTCGTGTACAAAGAATTTTACATTTCATAAAGACTCATCAAAAGATATTGTAAAATATTTTAAAACTATTGATTATTAAGAAAACCGCAGTTATGTGGGGGATTTCCCTTAAAGTTATTACATCTATAATAAATATATTCGCACCTCAACTAGCTATTAGTTTTAATACTAGTATCGAATCAAGTGTGTTTCCTGATTTAACGAAGCATAGTAAAGTAATACCTTTATTTAAATCTGGTAATACATTAGACACTCCCCCCCCCCCCCCGATTTTAGACCTACTTCTGTACTACCAACACTTAGTAAAATTTTTGAAAAAGTTATTCTTCATCAAATGTTACATTTTTTAATTTGAATAATTTACTTCATAAAAATCAGTTCGGTTTCACAGCGGCTCGTTCGACAACTGATGCTGGTGTTGAGCTGATTAAATATATGTTAAATGCATGGGAGAATTCACAGGATGCTTTGGTACATTCTGTGACCTGACTAAGGCCTTCGATGATGTTCACCGTGAAACATTTATCAGGAAACTTCAAAACTATGCCATGTGTCATGCCCCCATGTATCAAATTTAGTAAGCAGACTTAGCTATGCAGCATATGCCGTAAATGAGATTAGAAATCTTACCAGTGTAGAAACAGCTAGACTAGTTTACTTTAGCTATGTCCATAGCATAATGTCGTATAGTATTTTGCTATGGAGGCACGCGACTGACACAGAAATTGTATTTGTTTTACAGAAGTCGCTCAGACAAAAATTTAAGGAAATTAACATTGAGGTAATATGTTGTTACTACGTAACGTAACATATTAATCTCAATGGAAATTAATAGATTAACTTTTTTTACAAGTACCCTATATCTTCATTGTATTTTGTTTATACTTAGAAATAAAGATTATTTATAAAATGTATATATATAAAATGTATTGTACGTGTTTGAATGAAATGATTTCGATATATTAGTGTACGCCTAGAATAAGATTATTATTTGTTTGTATGTATTTAAACTTTCTCATGTATATGAATTGTTGTAAATTCTTATGAGAAATAAAGATATCTCAAACCTCAACTTTAGCTTCTCAATACATTTATGAACGTGTAATAATGTATGTACACAAAAATAAAACAAGTCTTACAAAAATAAGTGATAGCTAGCTAGATAGGCAAAAGCTAGTAGTACCGCTACGCTAGTATACGCTTTTACAACAAAATCCCAGAAAATATGCAAAATTTTACCTGCTAAAAGTTCAAAAACTTTATTAAACTAAGTTTGTATAAAAAGGGTACAAATCGGGAATGATGATTACAATTATTGTGAAGATGTATGTGAAATGAAATGATGATGCCAGATGAAATATTCCTGGGCAATATTCGAAAACTAAACGTGCAACAAGGAGATATTTTCCAAAAAGTTTCTGCCGCTGTACAAAATAATTTGCATGGACAAGAAGGCCAACTATTATTATTTATCACAAATGGCGCAGGAAGTGGGTAGTCTTTCGTTCTAAAATTATTCGTGGAATATATCAAACGGTGTTATGTACCAACTGTAGATATATTGCTCAAGGAAAAATTCGTTGAGGTTGTTTATTTAACAGGAGTAGCCGCTCGTCAGATATATGGATAAACGTTGCTCTCAGTGTTCTCACTTACGATGGAAAAACATTATTTTGTTTTTTATGACGTTCCAAAGTTGGGATTTAACCCGGGTTGGTCTCGTACTGCTAAATTTACAGCGAATGCTTCCCTCAAGAGCTACCAGCATCAGAGCTATACCGCCAACGACTGTGAAATTATAAATAGCAATTTTATCAAACTGATGATATTTACTCGTCGGTAAATGCTGTAAGTCTGCGGCTATAAGAACTAAACTAATATTTAAAAAAACATGTTAAGGCCGTCGTCATGCGTGAACATAGGTCGTTACTTCACTTTAACCTTATTATCGAAGAGGCCCATAAACATCAATGGATTATATGCAGACTGCAGACCTACAGGGATAGGAATAAAAAGAGAATTTACAACAAGAAAAACCTACAACAACCTACATAAAAACAAAACGCCATAGCTACTCAACTATATGGAACAGTTATGTCATATATCTAATATATACAATGTAATATTATGATACCATTTTCTTATCATCAATCCACTGATATTAGTATTTGTAATTAAAACGCCGGCGTTCATTAATTGAAACTATCTCACGTATATTGCGACGTTTGCTATTACATTAACCTATAATAGTATAAATACAATTAAGTTTTATTCATCAACCACTCAAGTCTCAGTGTCAAATCAATACATCAAAACATGTCAGCAACCACTCTCCTGGTACTTTGTGCGCAAGCTTGCTTGCTACAGGTAAAAGAACTTATTCAAACAACGTTGTAAGGGTATTTGCTTTACTGTATATTTTGCCTTTTTCTTCATTATCAGCGGCAGTCCGTCAATCGCTGCTTACCTACGAACATATTATACGTAATGATTAAAGCACCATTTATCGGAGGCTACAATATCTTCTACTGACCGTTTAGCAGGAACAACTAACAGTAAAGTGACTGTATTGTGCAAAGATAAAGCTGTCTTCACATTCTAGTGAAAGGTCAGCTTACAGTAAGAACCGCTTCTTTTAAGAAAAAGATAAAGCTTTCATAGATTACAAAAGCAGGTCCCTTTTTATTATTATTATTTATATAATAAGTTTAATATTTCTTACCAAGGGGGAGAGAAGGGCATGGCAGTGTTTACCATGCAGCTCTCATGTGTTTGAAACATTATCACGTGATAAATCAGCAATTAAAATAAAATTATTCAATTTAATTAGCGGCGGCGGGGAACCTATTTGAATTTCCAGCTCAGGTTTTCTCGGAGAATGCTTACTCCAACTACCACGGCTCTTAGTACATTTAACTACAGTTTAGTTGCCTTCATAAGCATGAATAATTTATTAATTCATTACAGCATATCAAAAATCTAATGCTGAACGTAGGCCTCTCTCATAGAGCTCTTCTCATGGGGGAATTTGGCATTTGTTGCCATGCTTGTTAGATGGGTCAACAGCCGCAGTTTTTTTAATTATTTTCGGTTGTTCGCCTCTTACGACATCTTGGCGATGGTATGGAGTAGTAGATATTCTTACTCAGTCACTAAAAATGGAATGAATATTTTATAATTAAATATTATTCATTTCCAGAACGTATACAGTCAGAGCTTGGGTGCTGGACTTGGCGTAGCTCCAACTATTGCCGCTCAATATGATCTTGGTTGTGAACCTGCCTTTGCTGCGGACGTAGCTCACGGTCCAGGTTTCGCTCCCGGTGTTGGATACGGGTACGGTCTCCCTGGACCAGCTGCATTTGCAGGCCCCTTTGGCGGCCCCGCTGCTTATGCTGCAAGCCCGGCTTACGGAGGTGCTGGCATCGGAGACGTATCCGTAGCTGGCGAAATGCCTGTCACTGGTACCACTCTTGTCGCTGGTCAGGTGCCTATTCTTGGCGCCGTGCAGTTCGGCGGTGAAGTTCCAGCTGGAGGTGTAGTCACTATTAGTGGACGATGTGGTTGCGGTTGCAACGGACCATATATGTATTAATTAGTGCTATAAGTAATTTGTTTTAATTATTAGAATAAATAAATAAGTATATGGTTAATTTAACCTTTTTATTAATGCTACCTATATGCTATAGGTGGCAACACTAGTGATAAAAATAATTGGTCTTGATAAATTGTAATAATTTAAATATTGTAAATCCACCTCAATTTTATGTTATAGTTAATAATTACTGCCGCTTTGTATAGAATATTTAAGGAATTTGGTACTTAAATATTATAAGAACATTTTGGTGTTGGAATAAAATGTGACCATTGAATTAATATGTACTTACCTACTAGAACAGCAATTTCAAACAAAAAAAAATGTGCGCTACTCATGTCCTCGCGCATACGCAGGGAAGAGTAGTGTCGTTGGTTTTTATCATAGATTATGCGTAGACAGAATGATCAGTATGTAGTAATAGATTGTATTATTAATTATGTAAATTATATCGAGGACAATTTTTAAAATTTGTCATTTGTTTTGCATATAATATGTGCTTATTTAATATGATATTACATAATACTATATCAGAATTACATTTTTATGATATTTTTATTTAAATATTTTAAAATGTAAAATATAAAAAAACATACTAAATGTATGCTGAACAAAACTTATTGACATAACATTTAATTTACAAATATATTTATTTCGATTAGAATATGACTCGTTCATAAATGCTGGGCACGCGAGAGTTAAAAATGGACGAATTTATTCCACTTTTCCCTGTTTTCATGGCTTGGACGTGGACACCTAAAAAACTTGTTAAGATTCATTCTGTCCAAATCATGACGATAAAAGAAATATTTTTGAATACTTGATGTAACTATTTTCCTTTTAAAAGAAAGTTCAGTTTTATCACTGTAAAGTGTCCTATAATTTACAGGTGACAACTGGCAACTGATTGATATCTCCAAAAAATATACAAATAATTCGCATCTTCTCGTGACGGAAAAGCCTTACGTAATTTTAGATCAATTTTCCTTAAAAGACTACATCCAATCATTCTCATTTCATCAATGACAATGAATTTACACCCATTTATTTCTTCTCGAAATTGAGCTAGTGCAGGTAAATTGAGATCTTTGAATGTTTTATTTACTACTAATAAAATTTTAGAACGAATTGTTGAACCGTTAATATTTACAGCAGCTGCACTTGCTTTTTTTTCTTTTAGGATGACAAACGAGCACACAGTCGACCTGATGGTAAGTGGTTGCTGTGGCCCTTAGACATCAACATTTGTCCTCGTTTGCGAATCAAAATGCAGATGCGTTGTCACCCGTGAGGACTAAGATGGAATGCCTCTTTTCCAGTAAAAAGGGTCTCCGGTTCTCTACCCTCACCATACGAAACACAGCAGCGTAAGCTGCTATTTTATGCTGGTGTTCTGTGAGAGCGTGGTCCTTCCCCAGTCAAGCCGACCCATTCATGCCACAACTATACTACTAATATAGCTGCAGCATGGCTCTACCACGTAAGATTGGACTAGCAATTAATTGATAAGATGAGATTTTCAAAGTTTGATTCAATCGAAAAATCAAATAATTGATTAAAGTGCTCTTTTCAGAACCAGCTTCGCCTTGTAAAACAATTCTTTTAATAGGTTGTTCTTTCTCGTATAACCTAGTAAGTAGCTGAGTTGTTTTTCAAAAGTATCAATCACTTCTTTGTCTTCATTAGAAAAGACATAATTGGGTTATTCCGTTAATCCACTTTAAGAAATCCACCCTAGGGTGGATAGTCGGAAACGCGTGTTCATTTATCCACCCGATAATCGGAATTCGTATATTATATTTCTTCTGATTTTCTCCTTCGGCTGTGTAGAGTTGTTTGTAAAGACGTGATAGAAACTGGCCTAAGATTACTTAGTAGTCATTAGCATATTTATAAAAATACATACATACTTCATGTTTAAAGGTCACAACTGAAATACTTTTAATTTTTCAATTACATATCATTTGATGTGATATATGTAATTTACTTCATTGAATAACGATGATAATGTGAATTACTATCAGATTTAAAGATGATATGTAGTTTATATGGTTTTAGGCTTCTTTTTTATATATTGGAAATGTATGAATGTATATGAATCTCATTGAATAAGGATGGTAATATGATTGCGTTTGTGAATTACTATCAAAGAGATTTAAATAACTACTACTTAAATGTCTTTGATTACTATGAAAAGATATGGCTCAAGGACAAAAATTATGTGGCTCTTTGGAATTCATTTGGAGTGTCTCACAGAACTACAAATTCATTGGAATCTTAACATAAAACAATATCAAATGAAATTAAAACCATCACCCAAATTTAGTAAAGTTTTTTTATTTTATTGCGTGCAGTTTTGCTCCCAGTTTTTTGCTAAAACATATGTTGCAACAAAGAAAGTAAAAAAATTATTGCAAATGTACATTAAAAGAGACGAATTTATACAGAATATACAATGACGTATACTCAACTCAATAAGGAAATATTATTGTTGGTCTTTTTCTAGAACTATTGCAGAATTTATAAATTACTTATTATTATTTAAAACGAGGAAGTTTAATTTGGTTTAAATGCAATACGTAATAAGATTTTTTGTTAAAGTTTGTGGATATTAGAAATTAATCAATAATATATTAAAGTATGAATATATTTTATGTTGAACTGTACTTGGGATGGCAAGGCGGAACAACAATCAAAAAGTGAATTCTCCGTCTACCGTCTACCTACCCTACCTACTATTACCACCCTAGGGTGGATACTCAACACGTGTTTCCGAGTATCCACCCTAGGGTGGATTTCGTATGGGGGATAAAATTTGCTAAGTAATTTTGATTACTGATGCTAAGGTTTCTTTCATTTTTTGCAATCTTTTCATTTTTAATATATTTTTCTAATAAATTGAGTAGTCGTTCATTTGAAATAGAATGCCATTTGTATCAGATATCAATTTCTCTTCTACTTAAATCAATTTTTTGGTCTGGCACCTACTTCCATCCAATCAAATTGTTGTTCTATTTCAACTGGATATATTTCTTAATAATCTTCCTCTAAATTTTGTAATATTTGATTACAAATCCAATCCAATTTAAAACCAAGAACATCATTATTGTTAAAATTACGTTCATATACAATCTTCTAAGTATATCTGGATTTAGATCATTCAACTGTCGCCACGCGACATATAATAAAACTTGTTGCTTGTAAAATTTTACATTATCAATACAATTAGGATCATATTTAACTTTTAGTTTAACTCTAAGAATAAAAGGGTCTTCTCGTATCATAAGTTGAACCTTTTATCGTTATAATTTATTTTAAATTCAGCTAAAAACTCGAATTTCGCTGGTCGTGTTTGTAATTTTTCCAAAAAACTTAAAACACAAATACTTCCATCTCCTTTATTCATATTTAGATGTTCCCATGTTTCAGGTATTCCCAAATTTACTGAAGAAAATTGTCGGGAAGTTCGATACAAAGGCCAACCCATAATAATCCAACATATTTCTTGAGCAGAGTAGTCACGTTCAGCGCACATTTCTATCAGGTTTTTTTATATAGAATAAGTGTGACAAATGAGCATATAGTCCATCTGATGGTAAGTGGTTGCAGTTGCTGTGGCCCATAGACATCTACATATCCTCGAGTGCGAATCAAAATGCAGATGCGTTGTCACCCGTGAGGACTAAGATGGAATGCCTCGTTTCCAGTAGAAGGGGTCTCCAGTTATCTTCACTCGTCTTTCCCTGGTCAAGCCGATCCATTCGTGCTACAGCCCGTGGTAGAGCCATGCTGCAGCTACATTACTACCAGTAATATAGCTGCAGCATGGCTCTACCACGTAAACAAACTATACTAATTTTTGAATTACCTGTTGAATACTGCTAATTATTATTTGAATCTTGTACTGTTTGTCTAATGAAATCTTTCGTACCTTCCGATCTTGTTTTTTTTAAAGGACAAGGGTGACAAACGAACACACAGTCATCCTGGTGGTAAGTGGATGCTGCGGCCCATAAACATCTACATCTATCCTCGATTACAAATCAAAATGCAGATGCGTTGTCACCCGTGAGGACAAAGATGGATTGCTTCGTTTCCTCTTCCCCCCCGGACCGACAACTGGTGTAAACGTGTGCACAATCCATATTTTTTCTTTTTTATAATATTAATCTTAATCACAATTCGACTCCTTTAATTCAAACGTAAAAATAGGGCCACAAAGACTGAAGGACGTTCGCTAGTAAATAGCGCAATTCAAACAGTGCAACATAATTTACCTCTTTGTTGCTCCTGGTATCCTGGTACGTGCAAGCAACTCGGCCTCTGACAAGGTCTATATTTACCTTCTCACACGCAACGACATGCCCTCGACGAGTGCGAAACCCCGCTTACTCACATGTCACTGGATCGTGCAAGTGCAAGGAGAGACGCTGTGTGAATAATAAACAACTTCCACTTCACACTACCACAATATCACTGCGCGCCTTATCCTGTACAATACCTGTTTGCGCTTATACTCCCCTGGTACGCGGATTGATTTAACTTTAGCAGAAGAAAGACGTTGCCGTGTAAAATAAGTCCTTTGCCGATCAATATACCAACATACAGCTACGAACCAGACTGTAATTACTTACACACTTTTTATTATCTCCTGGTACTTACAATGGAAGACATGAGCGGCAAATCCCTTTTTGAATTTTCCGGGCAAACAGAACAAAACGCCCCTCCTAACTTCATTTTCCAACGCAGTAAAAGGCCAAGAGAATGCTACTTCGACTCTGACTTCCTTGCTTTCAAACAGGAAGTCAAATCACTGATATCATCTCTAATGTCACCTCAGCAAGAAGAGCTAAAGAAAATCTACCCGACACTAATGGAAATTAAATCTACAAATAACTACATAGAAACCGCCATGGCTTCACTGTCGGCACAAAATGAAGAGCTTAAAAATAAAAAAGAACTACTCGAAGTACAAACAACGAAGGATAGAAATTATATCA